ATGGAGGCGGGGTTTAGAGCTGATTGGCTTTCATGGAGGCGGGGTTTAGAGCTGATTGGCTTTCATGGGGGCGGGGTTTAGAGCTGATTGGCTGATAGGATGAAGCTAAATAATCAGTTTATTCGTTGAATTTCTGCTTCGGATCCATTTCTGAAAAAACAATATTTGAAAATCCATAGAGGGGCCAGTGGCCCTATAGACGTGGCCCCGCTAGCAAAGAGAAAATATAGAATAAATTTATGGGAAATAAATTCTGATTTTCAATGAAACAGAAACTAATAAGTCACCTGGACTAATTATTTTCCTTATTTTGACTGTTTTATTTTATTTCTGAATTTAAATTGAGGTTTTTTCACTTTTAGCTTCGGTCATTTTGAGATTTTTTTCTTTTAGATCTAAAGATTCTAGAGCAGAAAAGGGCATCTTGGTTCTCATAATCTATCAAGCGATGAACTTTTCCTGTTTTTCTAGTTTGTTGTTGTTGTTTACTCTTAAAACCAATTTTTACTTTATTTTTTTTAAAGTTCCATCCCCTTTAAAATCCATTTTGTGAATCATAATCTTTGTTTTCAATCATATTGGAACAAATTTCTCTTCAAATTTAAAGCAAATCCAGAAAGGAAAGGAAAAGCTGCCGTCCTAAAGCTCTGGACGGTCCAGTGCTGCATCTGGAGCCGTAATCCAGTTTAATCCAGTTTAAACCAGTTTAATCCAGTTTAATCCAGAACCGGGAAAGAAAGACGCTCCTTCAGCTTTAGCTGCAGAAGGTTTGAAAGGGAGATGATCAGGAGGAACAGTCCTGCTTCTGGTAGCGTTCATATGATTGATGGATGGAGCTGCAGAAGAAAAGCATCCCCTCAGCATCATGCAGCCCCCACCGTGCTTCTTTTTCTGCTTCTCTCCAGTCCTCCAGGTGAGGATGACCCACCTGAGGAAGCTTTAGAAACTGACCTTACTTTAAAGCAGAACTTCATCCTGCTGCTTGTTCTCTAACCAGAACCAGAACATCCCAGTTGGACTGGGAGTAAATCCCACTGTTGGATTTAGATTTTCCCTCTTGGACTGAAGAGGGTTTTATTTTTGCCAGAACCAGCTAACGGATCCTCCCTGTATCAGAGGACTGAAACCTGATCTAATGGGTCCTGAACTTTGTAGAATCTGTGAGGTTCTGAAGCTGGGCTCGGTTCTCCATCATGCCCAGACATGTTGGAGCGGCTCCAGGTTCTGAAGAACCGTCAGACCGATGCCATGTTGGATCAAACTGATCCGATGGGAAACGTCCTTCCTTCACCTCCGGTCAGCCAGAAGTGTGGCGGCGCTGGTTCCTCTGACCGGTTCTCTTTCAGCCATCCTGTCTGTCGGATCAGAACCAGCCACTGTCTAATAAACTATACCCAGTTATTAACAGAGTAATGACGTGTCTGCTTTGCTGTTGGTGTCGTGTTTAAACGTCTCACCATCGTGGTGAATCTGCCGTGTGTCGCCGTATAAACGGTCCGGTCAGTCACACTTATATCAGATAAATATTTTACACCATCACATCTGCAAAGAGACGTCCTAGTCCAACATTGGGTGGGGGGCCCCAGGTGTCAGTGACGGGGCCCCTAAGAGGTCGGGGGCCCCTAAGCAGCTGCAGTCTCTGCTTACTGATAGTTACTTCATTAGATCCTGAATATTTTTACCTGCTGAGCTCTGCAGCGATGGTCTGCAGCCAGCAGGGGGAGCCAAGGAGCAGGAACACATGATCAGAAGAATCATTTCAGTTTTTTCTGATTCTAATTAAAATAGACAGTCTGCAAAATTTAGAAAGTTCAATTTCAATAATTTACTTTAGTCTACAAAAAATACATGATGTAGGAAATTCAGTTTAAACATTATTTTGATATAATATGATCAAAAACTCATAAATTTAAGATGCAACTGCTTTCCATTTACAGCAATAAATATTTGAAAATAAAAAAGGACCAACTTAGATTTTCTGCATAGAATCTATGAGTTAATTTAAAACATAAAATGTTGTCAGTCAGGATCAGCTGTTTTATTAAGTAAGAGTAGAAAACTTAGAAAATAGAAACAGGAAATAAAAGCAATTCGTTCCTTTTATTTCAACAAAATTCATCTAATTGAATCTCTTCTTTAAAATTAATTGCATCTATTTAGTTGGTTTGGTTTTTAAAATGGGGTTTATTGGAGAAATGGGTTATTTGATCCGTTTAAAGTGAGAATTACTGTTAAAAAATGTTGGATTTTTTCTATAAAAGCTTCTTAATTGAAACAACTGAATATAATCGATTTTACTGAAGGATTAATTATAAACCATACATTTAATATCAAGTATATGTAATAAATATTTCTGTTTCTTTTCTGAGTTTAAGAAAATGTGATGAATTTAAATTATTATTTTAAATAATAATTATTAATTGAATTTAAGGACTGTGGTTTAGCTTTGCATATTTAATTATACAGGTCCATCTTAAAATATTAGCATATTGTAATAAAGTTCATTATTTTCCATAATTTAATGATAAAACTTGAACAATCACCTGGATCAACAGATTAACTGGTTCATCACTCAGACCCCATCATGGGTCAGACTGCCGACATGCCTGCTGTCCAGAAGGCCATCATTGACCCCCCCCCCCCCCCCCCCCCCCCCCCCTCAGGCCAGAGGCTCAGACACAGAGAGATATTTCTGAAGCAATAGTCTGTTCCCAGAGTGCTGCTGCATCACGCCGCCTCAGAGGGAAAACGCAGCTTCTCCACCTGTACCTAATATTGTGGCCGGCTCCAAGCTTAAAAAAACGCAACATGAGGAACTAGAAAACTCAGCTGTTGTAAAAGAGCATTTTGTTTCTATTCAGTTTATTTCTATAGCTCTAATTCACATCATGTCATCTAACTTTATAGATCCACATCAACCAGATCATCCAATCAGATTGATTCAAAGTTTTCTATCTAAGGAAAACCAGCTGATTGCATCGACTCATTGACTCTTCAGCAATCCCTCACACTAAGCATGCTTGTAGCGACAGTGGAGAGGAAAACCTCTGGATCATCATGGGCTAAATGACTCGATGTCTCTAGATGTTTATATTCATCAATACTCGCTGGTTGGAGCCGTGGCTCGTCCACCATTTTGTTTTCTGCACCATATTTACACGCTATACTAGATGCTCGGTGCAGAAATTCTGTCTGTGCGAAGCGCCTTACTGTCGACGCCATGACCGATGCAGGAACAGATCTAGAAGCTAAAATCTACCTGAGCCTGGCTGGTGAATAAAGACAGAAGTAAAGAGGCGCTTCATAGCGTCAGCTCCTCTACTATCCTGCAGCAGCTGCTCCGACAGCAGGTTCTGCTCCTTCTTCATTTATTCGTTTCTTTCAGCCAATCAGAGTGAGCTGCTGACGGTTCGTCTCTGTGGTTCCAAACAGACGCAATAAAATGAGCAGAATGGAGGAAATGAAACCAGAGGATCCGATCCATGATGGGATGGAGATCAGGTTCAAAGTATTTATTTTAAAGTTTTATCGTCTAAGAAGCATTTCTCAATCCTAAATAAAACGATGAATTTGCCCTGATTGTCTGTGGCGTTCCAGATCGACAGCCGGACCGACATCAGACTTCCTTTGATGGATGCTGAAGGTTAGAGTCAAAACCTGAAAGCTGCAAATATGAAAACTGGTTAGAACTGGTTGGGATTGATGATTGGGATCAGAGGGTTCTGATCAGTAGGTTCTGTGTGATTCTGATCCACATCGTTGGTTCTGTGATGCCTTCAAATAGTTCAGCACTGAACTGGAAGATCCGGTCTGATCAGAACCGTGAGTCTTCAGACGGATTGAGGAGGGATGGGTAAAGCCAACTGGTTTAGGAAGTTTATTTACTTATTTATTTCCCCCAGAGAGTCCAGAACCCGCAGATCTGGGTCACATGTGAGGAGATGAAGAACAGAGCTCCTCCTCTTCCTCCTCCAGTCTGCATTCGGATCTTTCCCTCCTGGAATAAGATCCTGTCTGGTTCTGATCCGTTTGGACTGAAACCATCAGCGTGGTACCGTTGTGTTTACAGGGATCTGGTTCTGTTTGTTGGTTTAAAATGTGAGCAGCTCGCTGCTCTGGGTTCTGTTTGAGTCCCGGTTTCTGCAGGTCCGGATCAGAACCTGCGGTGTGAAAGAGGAGCGGTTCTGGTTTTATCAGCGGAGCTGGTTAATGTGTGACCTGTGGATAAACCGGGTCGGTGACCCGCCATAATCCAGCTGTTTTTATGGGCCGGCACGACAACAGAAGGTTCTGGTTGTTAGGGTGGAGCAGCTGGAACAGAACCGACCCGTTTATCAGGATGGAAGGTTTGGTTCTGCTGATACCCGAGTCTGCATCAGTTCTCTGGTTTGGCAGACTTATGGTTCTGATCCAAACTCAGAAGTTCTGTGTTCTGCAGAACCCTCCTGCTGAGCTGTGACCTCTTTGTAGATTGGGTCGGTACTGCTCCAGCCCCTCCTCTTGGTGAAGGTTCTGAAAGGGCCCGGTGGGCCACACACTCTGCCCTTTGTTCCTGTTCCTGGAATCTTTCCAGCCATGTTTTACGGTCCAGTTCAGAGCGGGTCGGCACCGCGAGCCGTCGGCCAATCAGAACTCAGCAAAGCGGGTTCAGCCGACTGAAGCTGGCGGCCCCCATCAGGTTCTGGACGGGGGGGGGGGAGGGGTTCTGACTGCAGAGAAAAGTTCCCTGAGCAGCTGGGATCAGTTCTGACCCGTTCCTGGTGATGCAACTCGGCCCGTTTATCCTGCAGCAGATGGTCCTGGGGGGGGGTGACGTTTTAATCCGTTTCATTCAGAGGAAACTGAGCAGAACCGCTCTGCTACAGGAGGGAACATGGATGGATTCGGACCGCACTCGGCTCCGGTTCTAATGTTCAGCTGATGCTTCGTCTCTGAAGGAGGAACTGGAGCCTGAATCGGTTCCTGTCAGCAGAACTAAACCTTTGGAACGTGTTTCCTTTTTTTGTCAGAACCCAAAGGTTCTGCTCGTTATGGGATCAGTGGTTCTGGAACCTTTCTAGGTTCTGTTCTAGATCTGGGAGGTTCTGTGGATGCTGCTGCTGCAGGGATCCGATGTGACGCCTGAAAGCTGAAGCTGGCGGATCCGGTTACCTGAGGACACCTGAAGACGTGACAACAACAGGGACAAGGTCCAGACGTCTTATCAGTTCTGCTGAACCGGGACGTCAGAGCTGAGGGGGCGGAACCGGGACAGGGGTGAAACGGGTCCCGCTCGGCTGTGAAGAGTCAGAGGAGGATTGGATCAGGATCCAAACGGACCCGGTGAGGGCAGCGCTGATGGAGCCGCGGCTGGCCGGACTCTGAGCCGGGCCTGCAGGAAGGACCGGGTCATGTACGTCCTCTGCACCCTGGCTGTCCTGACGCTGCACAGCCTCCTCAGGAAGCGGGTCACCGGCGAGCCCAACGGAACCGCTGAGGCTGCAGGGAAGGAGGATGTGCCGGTCTCCCCGGGTCAGGGGGGAGGCGGTACCGGCAGGAGACCGGTCCAGGTGAGAAGGACAGAAACTGATCTAAAGCAGAGAAACGTTCTTCCAAACGGGTCAGAGCTCATTACCGGGTTAAAACCAGCCTGTTCTGATTCTGCTTGGTTCTGTCTCAGTTCTGAATGTTTACTCAGTATTTGGGTCAGCAACCCGTTCAGAACCCGCCCTACCGGACCGGTTCTGCCCAGATTACAGAAGTTTTAGTGTTTTATTCCAGATCCCCAAAAAATTCAGTCAACCTTTTGGTCTGTTGCCATGGAAACCGTTTTCTACTTCGGATCGGACCGGTTCTGATCCATAACCCAGGCTGGTCAGTGGGAGGAGCTCTGCAGTGGTTCTGGTGGGGAAGCTTCAATCTCAGTTATGTCACTTCCTGTCAGCGGGCCAAACCTCTGGCTCTGCTGTCAGGCCGTTATGTAACGACACGACGATGATGATGATGATGATGATGATCTTCAGCTGAGCGGTTCTGATCGGACCCTGACTGGGTCGGTGGTTCCACTTGGCGCCGTGAACCTAAACTCAGACCTTAAGAAAATTAAAACCTTTTTGGTTCCAGTGATGCGTTCAGGGAAAACCTGTAAAATATATCATCTAATCAGAGGAAACCCAAACTGAACAAGGAGTAAAATCATTGAAATAAGATTTTAATGAGTTTTATCTGAGCAGGAATTAAAAATCTTATTTCCAGAGGTTCCCTCCTGACCCAGAAGAACACGGAGAAGTTCTAGGTGACGTAAACCGGACCTGAATCATTGGGGGGGTGGGGGCAGACGGAGCGGTGCCGCCGTGTTTTCCGTCATGCAAGCTTGAGCCCAGCAGCTGCTGAAGCGTGACATCACAGAGTCCGATCAGCCAATCAGAGGCATGCTGTGGGGGAGGGGCCGCTCTGCTGAAATATTTATTCATCATGGGGAGGGTGGGATTTCGGGGGGTGTGATGCTGCTCTACTGTTGCTAGGGAAACGAAGGGAGGAAGCAGTGTGTTTTGGTGAGGAGGGGGGGGGGGTCATTGGATGATTCTGTGTGTCGCCATGAAGCTGCAGCGCTGAGGAAGATGAGGCTCCAGGGAGGTAAGGATGGATGGATGGAGGATGGAGGATGGATGATGGATGGATGATGGATGGATGGATGGATGGATGGATGGATGGATGGATGGATGATGGATGGATGGATGATGGATGGATGATGGATGGATGATGGATGGATGGATGATGGATGGATGGATGGATGGATGGATGGATGGATGGATGATGGATGGATGGATGGATGGATGGATGATGGATGGATGGATGGATGATGGATGGATGATGGATGGATGATGGATGGATGGATGATGGATGGATGGATGGATGATGGATGGATGGATGATGGATGATGGATGGATGATGGATGGATGGATGGATGATGGATGATGGATGGATGGATGGATGATGGATGGATGGATGGATGATGGATGGATGATGGATGGATGGATGGATGATGGATGGATGATGGATGGATGGATGGATGGATGGATGGAGAGGAGGATGGATGAGGAGGATGAGGAGGAGACGCTGCTGCTCTGTAACCTGATGCAGCAGCTCATGTTCCTGCTGCTGAGCTGAATCCTCTCAGACGGCAGCAGGACGTCTCTCTCCGTTTGCGTCTGAGCATTTTCCTCTCCAGACGGTTCCTCTGAGCCTTTCTGAAGCTCCTGCTCTGTTGCAGCAGGTGTGGGCGGAGCCTCAGTCCGGTATTTTAAGCATTAACGGCTACGATCTGCTGGTAATAGAAGCTGTAGGTCGGTGGAAGTGGGTCACTGTGCTGGGGGGGGGTATCGATTAGGCTGGGAGGCTTGGAAAACGGAGCAGAGCGATACTGGTTGACATCAGATGCTTTAACCAGGGGGGGGGTCAATGGGAGGACGTCCTCCATCAGACGGAGGGTAACGGGACCGACCCGGATCTCATCTCCATCTACAGCTGCTTCTGCTCTAATGCTGCTCTGCAAAAACTCAATTATAAGGAGTCAAGTTTTCTTTAAATGTATTTAAATGTGAGACAATTTGCCATTAGAATAACATTATTTACTGAAAGGATAGTAAACTAGCTAACTCTGCTTAAATTAAGATCCGTTTTTATTTGTTTTTGCAGTAAAAACATTTGATAATCCTCCTGAGAAACGTACGACGATATGTTCAGACTGAGGAGCTCCATCTGCTGGAAAACTACAGATAAAAACTCTCCATGTTGGAGAAATCTGGAGGATGATAAACTTCATCAATCATCCAATAAATATGTTATTTTAATCATTAATAAAATCATTCATGAAATTCATGTTTTAGTCCTATTAAGCATAAATAACATTAAAGGTCTGATTTCTGTTGGAGACTCAGAAATCAGACGGAACCTAAAAACCTTTCAGTGTTTTTGGTTTTTCTGTGATCCTTGCATCTAATCCACACAGATGATGAAGAACCAGAGATTAATACAGAAGATTTCCAATAAATCTTTGTTTTTGGCTTAGATTTAGTTTTTATAGAGCTCACAGCGGTCAGTGAAGGCAGCACAGCCTGGGATCGATTGGTTCTGCCTTCTGTGATGTCATCAGAGACAGGGCTAATGATCTATAGGGTTAGCCAGGCGATGACTCTGTTGACATGGCAACGATACAGAAGCCTGCCTTCTTTCTCAGACTGATCCAAGGTCGGGTTCAGGAGGGACGATTCATTCAGGGGCGATTCCCAGGTGCTCCCAGGCCAAACCGTCCCCCCTCCTTCTCTCAGTGAGATGCCCCCAGAACTACTACAGCCGACCCCTTCCATACAGAAGATGATGAAGCTCCTCCCCTTCTCCAGACCCCAGCAGCATCAACCCATAGCGCCATTATTGAGGTTCAGAAATTAGATTGTTCTGATCGTTCTTCACCACCAGACTGGATCAGAACCAGAATCACTGCAGATAAACCGCAGAGCTGTCTGTCAATCACAGGATCCATCAGACCCAGATACCCCACCTCCTCCCCCTGCCGGTGTTCTGTCAGACCAGCATGCCCACAGTCAGACCAGCATGCCCACAGTCAGACCAGCGTGCCCACAGTCAGACCAGCGTGCCCACAGTCAGACCAGCATGCCCACAGTCAGACCAGCATGCCCACAGTCAGACCAGCATGCCCACAGTCAGACCAGCGTGCCCACAGTCAGACCAGCGTGCCCACAGTCAGACCAGCGTGCCCACAGTCAGACCAGCGTGCCCACAGTCAGACCAGCGTGCCCACAGTCAGACCAGCATGCCCACAGTCAGACCAGCGTGCCCACAGTCAGACCAGCGTGCCCACAGTCAGACCAGCATGCCCACAGTCAGACCAGCGTGCCCACAGTCAGACCAGCGTGCCCACAGTCAGACCAGCGTGCCCACAGTCAGACCAGCGTGCCCACAGTCAGACCAGCGTGCCCACAGTCAGAGCAGCATACCCACAGTCAGAGCAGCATATCCAGTCACACCAGCATACCCACAGTCAGAGCAGCGTGCCCACAGTCAGAGCAGCATGCCCACAGTCAGACCAGCATGCCCACAGTCAGACCAGCGTGCCCACAGTCAGAGCAGCATGCCCACAGTCAGAGCAGCATGCCCACAGTCAGAGCAGCATGCCCACAGTCAGACCAGCATGCCCACAGTCAGACCAGCGTGCCCACAGTCAGAGCAGCATGCCCACAGTCAGAGCAGCATGCCCACAGTCAGAGCAGCATACCCACAGTCAGAGCAGCATATCCAGTCACACCAGCATACCCACAGTCAGAGCAGCGTGCCCACAGTCAGAGCAGCGTGCCCACAGTCAGAGCAGCGTGCCCACAGTCAGAGCAGCATACCCACAGTCAGAGCAGCGTGCCCACAGTCACACCAGCATACCCACAGTCAGAGCAGCATACCCACAGTCAGAGCAGCATGCCCACAGTCAGAGCAGCATGCCCACAGTCAGAGCAGCATGCCCACAGTCAGAGCAGCATATCCAGTCACACCAGCATACCCACAGTCAGAGCAGCGTGCCCACAGTCAGAGCAGCGTGCCCACAGTCAGAGCAGCATATCCAGTCACACCAGCATACCCACAGTCAGAGCAGCGTGCCCACAGTCAGAGCAGCATGCCCACAGTCAGAGCAGCATATCCAGTCACACCAGCATACCCACAGTCAGAGCAGCGTGCCCACAGTCAGAGCAGCGTGCCCACAGTCAGAGCAGCGTGCCCACAGTCAGAGCAGCGTGCCCACAGTCAGAGCAGCATGCCCACAGTCAGAGCAGCATGCCCACAGTCAGAGCAGCATACCCACAGTCAGAGCAGCGTGCCCACAGTCACACCAGCATACCCACAGTCAGAGCAGCATGCCCACAGTCAGAGCAGCATATCCAGTCACACCAGCATACCCACAGTCAGAGCAGCGTGCCCACAGTCAGAGCAGCGTGCCCACAGTCAGAGCAGCATATCCAGTCACACCAGCATACCCACAGTCAGAGCAGCATACCCACAGTCAGAGCAGCATACCCAGTCACACCAGCATACCCCCAGTCAGAGCAGCGTGCCCACAGTCAGAGCAGCATACCCACAGTCAGAGCAGCGTGCCCACAGTCAGAGCAGCATGCCCACAGTCAGAGCAGCGTGCCCACAGTCAGAGCAGCATACCCACAGTCAGAGCAGCGTGCCCACAGTCAGAGCAGCATACCCACAGTCAGAGCAGCGTGCCCACAGTCAGAGCAGCGTGCCCACAGTCAGAGCAGCGTGCCCACAGTCAGAGCAGCGTGCCCACAGTCAGAGCAGCATACCCACAGTCAGAGCAGCGTGCCCACAGTCAGAGCAGCGTGCCCACAGTCAGAGCAGCATACCCAGTCACACCAGCATACCCACAGTCAGAGCAGCGTGCCCACAGTCAGAGCAGCGTGCCCACAGTCAGAGCAGCGTGCCCACAGTCAGAGCAGCGTGCCCACAGTCAGAGCAGCGTGCCCACAGTCAGAGCAGCGTGCCCACAGTCAGA